AACGAAAGTGGCCAGAGGAGGCAAGGACGCAAGGGTACCCTTGGGAAGGCTGCCAATCCTTGCTCTGCGGGTTGACTGTATATGGTTCGCAGCCCCAAGGGCTCCCCACCCCTTGCCCAGGAGCACATCTCCTTCCGGACGGCCCCGGTGGCCCGGAAACGGTCCTCGCCTGGGTGGCCCATGCAAAGGATGGGGTGGCCGCAGCAATCAGCATCGAATCGAGCGGATCGGATCGCTGCGAGGCGGGACTCTATCAATATCCATCGCCTGGGAACCGACGTCCTGGTGCCCCAGCGGGCGGTGGATATGGGTAGATCTTGGCCCCCGGGGGCCCGAATGTGTCCACATCCACCGCCTGCCGATGCCCCCGAAATTGCTCCTCCAGCCGGTGGTCGTGTACAAGTTCCTGCCTCGGAGGTCGAATCGGCACGTACGTCGGATCGGGCCCCATCGGCACGGGATCGGGCCAGAATCGGATCGGCCGCGCCAGACTGCAGCAACGGCGCCCCGCAGGCAGCGGCGCCCCGCAGGCATCGGGGGCACAGGGGGAGGAGGAGGAGGAGGAGGAGGAGGAGGAGGAGGAGGAGGAGGAGGAGGAGGAGGAGGAGGAGGAGGAGGAGGAGGAGCAGGAGGAGGAGGAGGAGGAGGAGGAGGAGGAGATAGAGGAGGAGGAGGAGGAGGAGGAGGAGGAGGAGGAGGAGGAGGAGGAGGAGGAGGAGGCGCCCCGCAGGCATCGGACCGAAGCGGAATTGGAGCGCATCAGGCCGGCCGAAAGCGAGCCCTCGACATCGGATCGGTCGACATTGGATCCGAGTGTCGGGGAGGGCGCCGCGATGGAAAGAAGTCGAAGCGCTTCCAGCGCCAGGGGTTGTGCTGCTCCCATCGTACTTGAGGACCACATCACAGAAATAGCTTCGAGCACCCAGTAAAGTGTCGAACACAGTGTCGAACGAACGTCGCCTCCAAGGGCCCGACACGTGAAAACCCTGGAGTTTCGGTACTTTCTTGGAGCCCGGAGCCCTTTCTGGTGATCGAGGCCAGAGTCGGTGGGAGCATCGTAGGCCTGGGGAGGGCACGCCCCCGAGGTATGCGACGCTGCGACAACAAAGGGCAAGCTCGTGGCATCGCAGAGCCAGGGCCCCAGACCCCACCAGCACCCATCGGGCGGAAGATGTGGGCAGAAGCAGTGGAGCAGGAAGGCGCTGGAATGAGGTCGGGCATGTCCTCCTACAGGGGGATTTTGGGCGAAAAATCAAACACAGTCAAAACATACTCCAACATTATCAAACAAAAATAAAACATCGTACCCATATTGATGTTTGATTATTCTTGAATATTCCTTCTGTAGAGGGACAGGTCCGATTTAACGCTGGAAGTAACCCGCAGAGCAAGGGTGGGCAACCTTCCCAAGGGTACCCTTTCATCCTTGTCTCCGCGGTCCATCCCTGGCCACTTTCGTTGGCCGCGCCCGCTCGAAAAGCTTCGGAGTGGGCTTCCAAGGCCCTTGCGTCCTTATCGCGCATCCTTACTATAGATGGGTTGACTGCAGATTGGGCTTCCGCCCGCCCCCGAATGAGGATGGAAGAGGGAGAAGCCACTCGACTCTGAAAGTAGGAGGGCGCCTGAAGTAGATTGGGATCGGGGAACCCAAAAACACCTAGTTACTTTTAACGACCGGCGCGTACTTGTGCGGCATTCCTGGGGCGTCCTGAAGTAAACTGAGCTTCCGCCCGCCCCCTGAAAGAGGAGGGAAGAGGGAGAAACCACTCACTCGACCATGAAAGAAGGAAGGCGCCTAAAGTAGAAGGAAAAACGCCACAAACATGGAGTTGTGGCGCTCCGCGCGGATTTCTTGGATCTGGCCTGGACCAGGGACGGCGCCGGAGGCGCCGCCAGGGGGGCCACAGCGCGGATCCAGGACATCCGCGCGGAGTGTCGAAAATTTATGTTTATGTAGTTGTTTCTCATTCGAAGGGAGAAACCACTCGACTCTGAAAGTAGGAAGGCGCCCAAAGTAGATTGGGATCGGGGAATCCAGAAGCACCTAGTTTCAACGACCGGCGCGTACTTGTGCGGCATTCCTGGGGCGTCGGGCCAATCTGCAAGGGCCGCCAGGGGCCCGCGCCCAGGAGATAACGCCCCGTAACAAAAAAGTCGACGCCCAGTGACAAAAATCGGCGGCGACGACGACGACGACGGGGACGACGACAGCTGGCTTTTCGCCCCGAACTGCTTTTCGACAGTCCCCTGGCCCGCGTGAGGGCATCCCTGGAGGCAGAAGACGGCAACATCTAGGTGGCCACATGTGAACCCTACCCCCACCCCCCACGATTTCTGAGGGGAAGCGGGGGTTCGCTCCGCTCATTTCTGTGTTCTGTCGCGACGCGAGGCCCGGGACATCCGCCGATCTGATTCTCCCCGTCCGCGGCCTCAGAGGCCTCGCCACCCCGGGCCTCCGGCAACCGCCCTGCACGACTCGGGCGCCCCCGAGACGACGCTC